TATATATATATATATAAGTTGGGCTTAACCAAAGATATATACATATAATTTTTTTTTACAAAACACACATATATATATATATAAGAGGTTTGCAATAAAGCTCAAAAGTGTGTGTCTGTCTTTGTGTGTACTAGAGGGCAGCTGCAGGGGTTGGTGCAGAGATTTGACCACCTGCTTCTTTGAGGTGGATACTGGAAGGTGGAAATTATGTGTCCTTACACACACACGCGCACACACACACACAGACAGACACACACAGAGTTTGCAGAACACTTGGTTCTGTCTATGTGAGTTTAACTTTGGAACGACGCTATTTTAAATGTTATTTTTTTCAAATATCTTTTTTGTTCTTGATCATTTTAGGTACTGATTATGTTTATGATTACTGAGCCATTGATTGGTTCAGCCAGTGTTAATGTTGAGTGGGATTTTGCATGGAAATACCTCAGATTATTTCGCACTGATGTCAAATATGAGAGAGAGAGAGAGAGAGTTGCAGAAATGTTAAACATGCAAATACAATGGTGGCACCTTGAGGTAAATAACCAATAAAGCAAAGTAAAAATAAAAAGCTTTTGTAGGAGTTATGCATCTCCTTGTATGTTGGTGTCAAGCTGCTTTGTTTGACTTGACAGGTGTTAGTAAAACACAAACTCACTGCAGCTCACACGCAAACACACACACGCATATTTGACTATTGGCCGGGACAGATGTGGTAATACTGGGATTGGTGCACAATGACTCATGTCTGGCTGAGTGTGTGTCATGATGCTGGGTTTTTTCTGTCTATGTTTTAAACTCTGGCTCCACTGCTGTAAATAGGACTGTCCACACTGAATCACAGGTTACAAAAATCAGCTTTTGTTATTTCTCGGGGGTTTGGGGTTGTTGGTATTTCTGTGCCTTTACAAATTGTAAGGGTCTTTAAATACAGAACAACGTGTGTCTTTAGGCATAAATTTGACCTAAAACTAAAGCAGGAACAGTCCTGCGAGACACAGCTTTATATGATCGGAGTAGCTGCATTCATGGACCGCCTTGCAATTTCTGAACAAAAAAAAAAAAAAAAATTTGAAACAGTCCAGACGGAAAAGAATCCCTGTGGCAGCCATCCTAGCTTTAAGATAAACGGTGGAATGAATAAGGAAAAGAATGTACACAAAAGAAAGGAGTCATCAGTGGGTGTGCACAAAATTTTGAGTGTAACAGAAAGGGAAAGTCACAGTTCAGTACATACCTCAGTATTTTCATTATTTAGAATTTATATTATTATTTAGAATTATTTACTATTTCTAACAGTTGCCACTAAATTTAAAATAATTACTTTTCAACATGGTAATTTACAGTAAATTATGAGACTGAGATTTGTTTGTAAATATTTTCATAAAAAAAAAAAAACACACTGTTATAAAATCTTGAAGCTGGCGTCACTGGTAGTGTGAATTGTTGGTGACATTTGCGTAATACGAGTGACGCTTCACCTCTGTGTCATTAAAGCTTTGCTGAAAAATCCATTAACACAGATTTTCTCCAGAAAAAAAAACAAACAAAACAATTTACATAAATGATTTAGTGCATCAATCTCAAGCCAACATCTTTAGTCGCCTTTCCTGTCTTCAAGCTCTATCCTGTTGTATTATGGACACAGTGTTGGGGGGGGGGTGAGAGCTTGAGGAGACGTGAGGCTGTGGCACTCGCTGAGGCCATCTGGGTATCCCATCTGCAGCATGGCTATGGCTGCGACTCTTCCATTCTGGCAGCTTGCAGCAAGCATTTACCACCCTGATGACACGGGGAAGAAGCTCCCCAGACGTCCCAAATGACGCAGAACAATTCTAATAATAGTGTGCTGTGAAAGATTACGAGGTTGAGAACCAGGTTATCAAAAAGGTGGACCAAGGAAAATTATAGACAGAAGGAACGGCCAAGACTGGTCCTGTTCAACTGGAATTGTTTAATACTGACTCGACAAAGTAGTACGTAGAGTTATGGAGATAAAGTATTGTACACATGTCAACCTTACATTGATGAAGTGATTCGTTTAGATTAGATAGAACTTTATTAATCCCTCGGGAGTTCCCTTTAGGAAATTAAGGTTTCAGCAGCGATAGAGCACTAGAAAAACACACAGGAATAGACACAAAGAAATGGACAATACAAAAAGGAGAATAGCAGCACACCAACAGAAAAGATGAATGGGCCTGAACACTTGAACGCCTCCTGTTGGTTAATCTAAATTGAAAAATAATGAACTGGCAGTTTGAAAGGCACATCACACTGTGAAGTGTTCCACACAGCAGTGTAGGAGCAGTTAGCAATTTCAGTTTTTACACAAAGACGTATTCTCTCTTACAGCAAATATATTTACACAATGCATTTGAGTAACTGTGATACTGTACTGGCAAAGCAAAATACCGAGTAGTATTACCTGGAAAATACCTGAAGGAAAAAAAGGGAGAGACAAATGGCACTCACCGTTATTTTCCTTAGCCATGCGCAAGGCCATCAAAGACATCTGTGGACTGATCTCCAGTTGGCACACAAGCACTTTAGTACGCTTAATGGCAGGTAGAGCTTTCTGCAGATCCTCACTGCACAGCAGCATGTTGGCACCGGCTACGATGACAATTGCATTTTCACCTGTTGAAGACACAGAAACACTTGAAAAAGGACCACAAAATCCTGTATTTAGTATCGTTCAGATGCTGGCGCGGAGTTGGGAGCTTTATGATGTTCTTCGCAATTTGAAGTGTAATGCTAAATAGTCTGTACCTAGACAGCACCGTTCTAGTCATTATGATCACCCAAAGCCCTACATCAGGGGTGTACACACTTTCTGGGCTTGACAGCTACTATTCAGATGACCAGGCTGAAGAGAACTACGTACATTGAAAACACTATTTAAACACAACATCATTTATATCATTCATTATATGTGGACGTATTTCAATACATCTGAGAAAGACCAACAAGTAGCGATTTGCAACTGGTGTAATGCTGAAATTTTAAGAGGCGGTGAAAAGTATGCTCATATAGTCTGTCAGCACATGTTTCACTGACATCTATTCAGATCCCCTGCACTCTTCGCGACTATACTTGATCCGCATTTTACGATCATTACTTGGATGCGGGATTAAAGCAGCGCGCGCGAGAAATGATGGACGCAGAGAACCCGCTTGGAGACGGAGAAGCTCACAGCGCAGGAGAAGTAGAGCAGTGTGCCAGATGAGGGGCAGGCACCCTCGTGGTCTGACATGTTCTGTGAGATCCTGCAAGACAGTGCCTCAAATAATAATAGGTGGGCTGTTCTGTTCTGACTTCCTGTCTGACTATTAGACGATTTTATTTCTCTGCTACGCAGTTGACAATAAATTATTTTGACATTTATTTATTTACTATGAATTAATGCAATCACAGTGCCTTGATTTTACTGAGGTTTAGTACACAGTCATAGCCATAAATGCAATGGTATTTATAATTGGCATAATAATTTATTTTCTCATTTTTATTTTCAGTGCATCCCTAACATATATATATATATATATATATAAAATATATATTTATATATATTATATATGTATATATATACACATATATATACATATATACATACATATATACACATATATACACATATATATACATACTATTTATATGTGTGCATCTCATATTTTAGTTTTCCCTGATTGCTGTATATGCTACTGGAACAATGAACCCTGAAATGACAGACAGAAGCTGAAACATAAGACAAAGTGACCTATGGATCATTGAAGATGGACACATGCATTCTATATTACACAAGAGAAAAAAATGGCAGCAGTGATATTTTTGGTCCTAGTCTTTGGGCTGGCACTCCTGCCATTTAAGCCTGAAATACTGTCCTTTACTTAAACCATATTGCTAGTACAGTGTGACAGTAGTTCACATGGTTCACAGCGCTGCAGAATAATGTTGGAATTCTGTAGAGTGGTAGTGTACACACTGTTAGATACTTTATCTCAGTGTGTGTGGGTGTTTGTGTGTGTCTCTGTTGTAGCCAGAAATAAGGCGTGCACTTGCTTTTCTCTTGGATAAATGTATATACCAGAGAGGTACTTCTTATATGTGGTACAACTATAAAGAGGGTATCTCACTAACCAGTTGGAGACACATCATTAGGTGATAAGTTACAAATTAGCTGCTTGGAATCACCATGGATTATGCAGGTCTTAAAATTATAGTTTGAACAAATTTGATGTTGTGTGAATCTTTTGAATGTTATAAACGCAACAGGGATCAAGGACGAGGACATTTAGACACCCCGCAACATTTGAGACATTTATAAATCACCCATGTAAATATCGCATGCAAAAAAATTAAGCAAAACTACACAGTTCATCGAAAAGCCAAAATGCTTACCTGCATCATTGACAATGATGGAGGCTGCCCCTGTGGCAGCATTGGAGGCCTGCTCCACAAAGCCTGAGACAGAAGAAGAATCAAAGCTAAGATTATTCCCCCTTAGGTCTTCTTTTGTAGTGGGAATCTGGTTTCTATCTCTTCTATATACAATGAAGTAATTTAATACTGATCCAGATATTCAGACAGTGAGTGGCCATAAAAGTGTTGAAAAGAGGCTAAAAAAAACCCCCAAAACCTGCCAAAAATATCACCAAGGACAAGGATAAAAAAAAAATACCCTGCTTTGAATGTAAAGCTTCTCTGTTGCATAATAGAAACCTCGTCTTACCTGTGTACACACTGTTGTCCTTGAAATTCTGGATATAATTGTCTCCAAAAAAGTCTTTACCAACCTAGAAAACAATGGAAGGCAAAACGATTAGAACAAAGGGTCAGACTTGGTTAGCGGCAACTTTTGAAAAGTGGTATACTCAAATCTCAGATGTGCTGGATTTTCCTGTACCCTGCCAGAATACTGGCATCATGCCGCCGCCGAAAATGTGCAAAGGTGAACACACAAATTCAAGAAACGCACACACTTACGCAAACACATGACCAGCTGCGCCAAGCCTTGAAGACACAATAACTCCGCCTTCACGCCCCCTCATGCCCACTTTACTATCATTTCCATTCCCTACTTTACTTTTCCTCTGGTCCGCACTGGGATGTCCACATCTGTAGCTACTTTGGGTTGAGGATGGGGTCCCCACCTTGCCCTAAGGCGCCTACATCGAACCCACGCTTTCCAAAAAATCTGCCAAATTGCGGGCAGTTCTATCTGCTTGTTATAGTTAGTTGGGCTGGTATTTGCTGCTTGGCCCTTTTTTCTTTGAAGATCGGCATTGTGTGTTGGATGTTTTTGACAAGCCTGGTTTGTCTATTTTTGGGTCCAACCCATAACCGCAGAACTCTTCCCTCTCTGGGTTGTTATCGATCACGACTCTTTGTTCTGACAGAGGTGGAGCATCGGTGCTTTAGCGCTCACGCTGAAAGGCCGCACAGAGCTTAGTGATTGGAGACACTGGGTTGTATGGTATGGGAATAGCCTTGTTTGAAGGTGCACTAGCGTGAGTGGGCGTATGCATGCTGTATAGTATTGATCATAAGAAAATGAGGCATGTGGATGTGTGAATCAAAGCTATAGAGTTTTGCCGAGTTGTTTGCAAGTTCGTGAGCTGTTCGAAATCAGGTCTAAATGTCTGTGTGAACCATGAAATACACTGGAAAAAGGTTGGGTTCTCAAGTACTATGTTGTTGACGGACGTGCTAAGAACCAAAACTGAGAGTCAAAAGTAAAATTGAACACAAAACATTGGCAGCATATAATTCTTTTTTTTTGTTGCTGTACCTTGCACACCATGGCGGTTTTGGCCCCCAGTCTGGCAGCCTGAATGCACTGGTTGGCCCCCTTTCCTCCAAAGCCAATGAAGAACTTGTGGCCATGGATAGTCTCCCCTGCTTTGGGCAGCCTTGGGGCCTGGCTGAGTGTAGAAACAGAAGTGAGCACCATTACAGAGTGGCAATTCTTTTAAATTTTTGACAATAAATACTTTTACTTTCAAACAAACTTTGCTAAACAAATACATAATACTACAAACTATTCCTTTATCCGGTATCATGGGAACTGAAACTACGGAGAAAAGGAAGATGTCAAAATGTGAAGACAGCCCTTCAGGGCCCTCCTGGGTTAAGATATTTATTTATCACTGAAAAAAGCAAAAAAAAAAAAAAAAGGAATGCGAGTTCACAGAGGCTCATAACATTTGCTCATGTTAAAATATTTTGACAGAAAGATCATCAAAAAGTCAAAACATTTTGCAGTAACACTTTACTCCTTCAAAAACTTTTTCCTGTGATTTACTTAACATAAAAAACAAGTTCAATGCAGTCAACTTTCTTTATAATTCCTAGCAGCACCAGAGGAATAATGATGGGTAAACACGAAACAACTCATGTCAAAAATAAACCTCAGAGTAACAAAGGTTACCATTAGCATTTCCACAAGACATGCTAAACTATTATAACTGTGCATTATTTTTAATAAATTTGTAATTCCTCATGACTGGAATATTGGTCATGGATGTAATGACACTTAACACTTCAGAGTTAGTCAGAGATCATAATAGTGAGTCAATGATGCAACCGACCAAACTAACAGAAGTCTGCAATGGGCCATAGCCACAACAAATCAACAGCATCTTATCAGGTAAAGTACTGTTGGTTGATACAAGGAGCTTAGGGGAGTATTCAGGGAAATAGGCAAAGGCAGTAGTAGAGGTAGCGGTAGTTGGCTGAGCGAGAGGTAACATGGCCGGCGAGATGTAGCGTTACTGGGTGGTTTAGAGCCCTGGATTAGGGGCTCAGTATCTTCGGGGGCATGGGTACACATCCCACCGCCTGCTCACATATCTGTCTTACATGCAGAAGGTCCTCGGTTTGAGCCCCAGAGGAACGACCTACTTAATGGTGCCCACCGTGGCAGCCTGTGTGGGTTCCTATGGTGCGACGTAACTTGTAATTTACCTCGAAGTCGAAATATAGCAAAAATGGAACAATGTGTATGGAGCAATCAGTTGACTGACATAGCTCCATACAACCAGCCAAAAAATGTAAAGTCATCTTTAGCATATAGCACTGCGTCACGATGTATTAGTCTACTCCACTCACCAACTAGTTCCCGTGCGAACTAAATAGCGAGTTTTAACACCATACATCTAAAAAAGTCTAGCGAGTTTTAACACCATACATCTAAATGATGTAACAAGTCTTTCTAAAACAAAACAAACAAACAAACAAAAAAAAAACACCTGGTTTTATTTTTTCATATTTTAGACAGGTTGGTGCTAATTTTTGTTATACATATTATGCTCCTGTTTTATTTTGTAGTGTGTTGGGGTATAGAGAGAAAAACCTGGCGAAATGGTGCATTTCAGTTTTTCTTAAAAACATGACTGCACCATATGTGAGGGCAGTGATTATTAGGGTCTGTATTTGGTTACGTATAATGTCAGGTTGTATGGTAGATAATAAAAGAAGGAGGCAGAATGAGAATAATCCCTGTCTCATTGCTACCCACATCCATAGTGGCTTTGCCTCAATTGTATGAAGCCCCATTCTCTGTGAGAATGTGTGTATAATCTAAGGCTAGTAGTCACGGCAGCTACTGTGGGATTTCACTTCATGCCAAAGATCCTATTGAATCAGGGCCCCAGCTGTGGGACTGACACCCTTGAACAGTTTCAGCGTTCAGCTTTGATCTGTATTTTGTATGCCTGTCTATCTGTCTGCACCCCCCCATGCCCAATACACATTCACACACATACACATCTGTGCCACCCTTGGGGGCACGCCTCCCACTTTGGGAACTACTGCTTTAGGATTATAGATTTTCTATATAACTCACTCAAAATACTTTGAATTGATTTTTTTTATTTTTTTATTTTTTTAGGAAAGTAAATAGATAGATTTCAGGACTGTAGCTGCGACCCTTTGGCAATTTATCAGACCATTTCACTGTGTGACCATTTTTGTATGTAAAGCTGCAAAATTAAATAAGTTGAAAACCTAACTTGTTTTATTTTTCACACAGTTCAGATATCCACTAAAGTTCAAAAGCTCTTGAGTGCTGTACTGATTATAAGAAAGAAACTGCACTTTTAGACGAATGACTCAATTTTTGGCAAAGAGCCACTTGAAGCCGGATAACTGGCTAGTAAGATAAACAAATTTCCAAATTCTTAAATTACCCCACCCACATTTCTTCATTCCCAGAGAGACACTTGGCTATTGTCTATGGCGAGTGCACCAAACAAATAGGGCAGTTATGTGTAACCACAGTGGGTTTTCTCCCACAGAAGCAAAAGACCAAAGCAGGTGTTCAGTGACGTGCTTTCAGGCTGGCTCTTGTTTCCCTAATAAAGCCATTCCATGGCTGGAGGCGGGGCTGGGTAGGGAAGTCAACCTTATGCCTATGTTAGCCAAAGTGACATTAAAAACTGAGCTAAGTTGACATCAGACCATTTTTATCCTGCAATAGTGTATAATAATACTTAAACACTAGCGAAATGGAATAATCTAGTCTGACTGACCAACAGAAATGAAAAAGATAGACAAGACTTTCTTAATAGATATATGGCAGAAGGCGACGTAACCATGAATAGCCGTAGGTCGAGGATGTTGTAAACCAAGGACCCTCTGTACAATGATGCAATGTTTGTTTTACTCTATGCAGAATGTCCTCAAGAGAAAGAATACTGTATGTGAACTCACTAGGCAACAAAAACAGCTTTTTTATTCTCTTGTTTAGCAAAATAAATAAATAATTGATGATATTCAAACATATTTTAAAGTAATGATGACAGATAACATCTGTGCTTGTGGACGTCTGTAACCCACATTGTTGTGGTAGGTAGAAAACCTAAACCTGAATCCATAAAATGTTAAAATCTGTCTTTTGAGTGTTCTAAAATTTAGTGGGAATTTTAATCCGGAAATTTTCTGACCCCCAATTCCTTTGGATTAGATGCCGGAATTTTAATCCGGAAATTTTCGGACCCCCAATTCCTTTGGATTAGATGCCTTTAGATGGCTTCTGATTTTCTAGGGGGGATAACGGTCTAAAACAAGCCATGATGGAAAACACCTTCCACCCTGTGCCACATTTTCCACAAGTGTATGTGTCAGAAATAAACCTCAAAGGAAAAAAAACACTAAGGTGGTTAAAAATAATATAAGGAAACAATATTTAAGCAGACAGTTACTCTGTTTGTCCTCTCCTAATTCATGATATGCTTGGAGATTGAAGTTAAAGCTACTTTATTTCACAATCAGAAACAGGTAAATACATCAAGTCCAATCACATTAATAAAGCCCACAATTTTGATCAGGAGTGTACGCTAACTACTAAAAACGACTTTTCTACTACACTTAAGTGCATATGTAGAGTACAATGAACAGGTTAAATGAAAAAGGCTTGTCAGCTGATAAACTGCCTTATCATAATCTTAATACAAAAGTGCAACCAACGATGCAGTACAGCTCAAAGTTCACTTAGTTTTCTGCCTGACCTTAGATTATGGAAAGGATAGAGGAAGTAACAGTGGCAACACTCTGCTGGGGATGGTGAAGTGAAGACAGAAGCATGAAGATGGCTATATCTACAGCACTGGTTCCCACCCATTTTGGTTTGTGACCCCATTTTGACATTACAAATTTCTGGCCACCCCAGAACATTTTTTACTCCTGGACTCCTAGGGTTTGACCATGTTTGTTATACTGCGTTGCAAATACAGATTAGTGTGAGAACTCGAGTAGCTGTCTCTTGTGCAGTCTTGTGATTTTCAAAAATACTTTTGTATACATACTTCAGTAATGTTTCCGTGGCACAATCAGTGTATCACCAATTCTATGCATTGATATTCATTCTGTACTGTAGGTTATTTAAATAGGAATTGACTGGCTTATTTCCCCTATGTTAGGCATGTATAATAATCATTTTAGAGTTAAAGGCTTATTAAGCTATTCCATTGGGTCAATCAGGAGCCTATTAGGTTATTAGCTGTTTATTATTTTATTTATTATTAGAAGTTCCGAAAGGCAGACTAAACTTGAAACTAAACTTAAAACTAAACTAAGAACTTTTAATACAAATATTTCACATTACTCGCATTAGACTCCCTCTACGACCAAGCAGTAAAGCCTTTGGTAAGTGCAGTACACTTAGTCACTCACTGCTGAGAAAAGTCAAAGAGGTCGTCTCCCTCTAGCTTCTCCAGAATGTGACCAGATGAAACTGTGTGTGTGGCAGGGGAAAAATGGATGTAATGGGTGTTTCCTTTAACTTTAATATTGTGCTCATTCCTTAATATTCCATTGTATTGAAGATTTTGATCATATATATTTCATTTTGTTTTCAATCTCTGGTTTAATTCATCTCCTGCTGCCATGACCCTAGTCAACTAGGCAACAAACAAATGACTAATGACCAACTGGGATGGCTTAGTCATTATTGTAATTGTCAAAGACGACTCACCATTGGAGTATTGCAAACCAGTTGCACTACATGTTGAAATTTAAATCTGTTTTGGGCACATGACTGACGACCCCAAACTGATTCGCTAACTTGGACACAGGATGATGCAAAAATCAAACTTGGTAAAATTCTAAACAATAGATAAATATACACCTGTAACTAAAATGGATTATCCTACTAGGTTGTTATGGAATGTTCAATATTTTTGAACACTGGTGTTTTTCATGAATGGACTGTGGTATTACAACAACATATTGTAGATTCCTCCCTGCTGTCAAATGATGCTAACAGATCTAGCTTGTCTCTTTTGTTTACTATTGTTGTCAAAGGTGCAAGACAGCTCTGAAAAACACAATTTTCTTGTTCAGCATATCACATGGACTTGATAAAATCTTTTCCTGTGAATCTTATCTCACCTGTACCTGCATCAACAGCCTGCATGTGGCTATATAGTCTAGCTAGGCTGATCTCCAGGCTCAAAAGAGCAAGACTGATTTTGTAAAAATGCAGAAACCAGCTTCTTTGTTTCAGTTCCAGGCAATGACTATGGTGTGTGTGTACATGCATCAAATGAAAATTAGGTATGTAGGTCCAATGAAGACAAAGACGAAGAAAATACAAAGAAGAGGGGCTGATTGGACGAGGAGAAGGAGGCACATATCTGTTCTGTCATAAAAAGCTCAGTTACAAAGAATTATGTACATGTTTTCAGGTTTTTTTTAATCAGTTTTAATCAGTGGCCTAATCAGTTTAAGAATATAGTTAGGACTCATTGTCCTAATGTTGTAACAGGCTGTAGCATTAAAATGTTTTTACTCACTGTAAAAACTAGTATTCCAACTAAAAACGAAGTATTCCAACTTCGACTGCATGCTTCATTTTCAGGGTATCCATCACAGAAATTCTACTTTTACGTGGAATAGTTGAGTACATAGTTTACTTATCATACTTACTGTAATTAAAAAGACATTTCTAACTGAGTCACTCAACGGTAGTGTATCTGTATTTCGAGTCAAGTCTGGGTCTCCGTTTTTTTATACAACTCTTCTGTTGACTTAGAGTACAGCCAGCACAATTCACAAAAACTTATAGAAACACTTAATGACAAACTCTCACCAGACATTTAATCCTAAATGCTATGTAAACATTATTTTGTGCACCATGTTCACCAAGAACCTGGCACTGGGGAATATTAAGATTTTGTTTTTCACTACCAAACTTAAGTGTAATTTTTAACACACATGCTCAGAAGACATTAGTATTACAGGAAAGATCATTTCTTGTAGCGTTTTTGTGGTATTTCAAGTTACACACTTTTACATGTAATGGGTTAAAATTTGGACATTTACTGGAATAAAAATAGCAGTATCCACCAAAGACATAGTCAGTACAAACAATGCTGTGTTGTTGCCACCATAATGGGACAAAACTCTTGCAAAAATATTGTTTGTCAATTTAAAAAATGGCAGAAGCCCTGTCTCCCCAATGACTTTTTTTGTAAAATGTGTTCATTCTTCCCATGTGTGTATAGTACTAAGGTTCCACAAAAAGCAGATTAGGTTAACACATTGTCACCCTTAATTGATTATGAGCATGCTTGAGAGTGTGAATACGTAGTTTTTCTGTATCTTAAAAAGATGAATCTAAAGATTTCGTACTCTGCTACCTGAGATAACACAAGAGTACTGAGAGATTTCATAGTAGTGTTTTCGCTTACCTCACTAAGACAGTCATACAGGAGCCAACCACCATGACATCAAAAGCCTCTTCTGTCATGATCTGTTTCAAAGATCTGCATGTTACTTCTACAGACATTACCATGTGCAGAAAACAATAACTTGTTCAATTCATGATTTGTGACATAATGTATATGCATTTTCCACCTTTTTTGCATGTGAAAATTACGTTTGATATGTAAAGCACATTGGTCTTCTCTGGGACATTTAAGGCAAAATATGCAAAGTAGTTTTCCCACAGCTCCCAAATAAAAATTCAAAACATTTTTCTTTTTCAGATTAGCATAAGCTCAATTCAAACAAGAGTGATAGTAAATATAGAGCATTCATTGGTTGTTAGGTTGGACTTGTTCCAGTCTTCCTGGAGGTTAAGAAGAGTGGGGGTATTTTATATTCAGAGTCATTTGAGCTCACTGTCACTGCCGTGTCTTTAATTAATTCAGTCTTTAGTTTGCACCGGAGCTATCGCTCGTGTTTTAATCTCAATAAATCTCTTCCTAAGCAGTGGGAGACTTGAAAAGCTTGGCCGCTGGCTGTAGAATGGCTTCCTTTTCTTATGTTTTCACATAGCAGCACACGTTAAATGCTGACACATAACCACTTAGCTTTAAAAGGCTAAACCAACAAACCGTTAGGAAACAAAACCAGAGAAAACAAATGTATGCTGGACATCTGCAGTGGCCAACAACCTGATACAATTGGATACACTATGTTTGACCTGTAACTAATAATTAAACAGCAGAAAGTCATTTAAGAAAATGTACTTATTACAAATGTATATTTCAATAAACATGAACAAATAAGAAAAAAAAATTAATGTACTGTGTTTAACTGTGATATTTTTCACAACTTAATCAGCCAATTTCTATGATGCCTTCTTCAGAGAAGGTAATTATACTTGTTCAACTCTATGTGAACATAGTTTGCATTATTTGTTTCAACAACATTGTTTCAATTCTGGCAGGATGACTTCTTCTTTTCCTTTCGGATTGTCCCTTTTTCAGGGGTTGCTACAGCGTATCAACATTTTCCATACTGTCTGATATTTTTCACAACTTAATCAGCCAATTTCTATGATGCCTTCTTCAGAGAAGGTAATTATACTTGTTCAACTCTATGTGAACATAGTTTGCATTATTTGTTTCAACAACATTGTTTCAATTCTGGCAGGATGACTTCTTCTTTTCCTTTCGGATTGTCCCTTTTTCAGGGGTTGCTACAGCGTATCAACATTTTCCATTTCACCCTGTTCTCTGCATTTTCTACTCTGACTCCAACTACCTGCATGTCCTCCCTCAATGCATCCATTAATCTCCTCTTAGGAATTGGTAGCTCCATCTCTAGGATTCTTCTCCCAATATAGCATTCTTCTACCAATATAATTAATAATAAATAATGACAGATTGCTGTAAGACCTGGTCAGTCAAAATTGAAGTAAAATATCCACAATACTTTGCATAAAAAAAGTAAGTCAGGAACTGTTGAGCCATTCATTTTGATGTATTTTCACAGAGTAACTAGACTTTTATTTTAAAAAAACAAAACAACAACAGCCATTTATAACACAGTAACCTAACTATTGAGTGGTAATATACTGTAGTATAAGTTCAAACAATATATATATATCAGTTATATTTGACTGTGGTTAATATGATTTACAACAATAGTAATTTGATAAATGTCTACGTGGGAATTGACAGCTAAAGGGCACAATGTTACAAATAAATCTATCTGTTTAACCTGTCTATCGAACTCTGGAATTGAGTAGCAATTTGGAATTTAAAGCCAAAGCCTGTGAAAAATATCCTCGTTCATATGACGAATGCCAAATGTGTCAATCAAAATGCGTTATTAAAATTTAGGTATAGTAGTTACCTGATATTAAAATCTTGACGATCTACAGTACGTGAAATGACTGTCAAACACCGCTAATGTACCAAGTGCGGGTCGAAGTTTACTGACAGCAGGATGCACGACGCTAGTATATAGCTGGTACAATGTCCATAGATGTTACCATGCATTGGTGTACATATATTCAGGTAATTAAAAAAAAACATCTAAACAACGCGACTTTGTTCATAGTATTTATGTATCCGTTTTTTTTTAAAGAATATCCCCTTGTTTGTACTTTTGCTAACAGGCACTGCTACAGACAGCTCAAAGTAGTGGGACGTCTAAAGGACCCTCAAACACACAAACCGGATATTCTGAGAGCATGAAGTAAACATTGGAGTCAACAATACATTTATTACACTCAATTCTCTAACAGGTACCCCAGCAAGAATGTCATGCTGTATTTAATTAAGCTATCCCTAATTTTTATACGGTGGAGATCTTTGTTCTTACAAATATGCCGTCTAATTGACGCACATTAGCGACTTACGATACGAAGCTTTTGTAAATGTCATGTAAATATTAGACATTTTAAAAAGTAACTTGAATCTGGACATTAGCCGAATACGTGTGTTGCAATGTTACCTCTTTTTCAGTTAAAGACGTAGATTGTGTAGTGTATGTTTAAGGGAAAATAGCAGGTCTGTGGCATTCTTTCTGTGAAATTAAGTTGTCATTTTCAGAGTCCATGTCACATATCATACACTAAATAGACTACTCGTATATAGTTTCACATTTAAGAGACATAAAGAAGCCCCTACACCGAGGGATTGATTCTGACATATGTCTATTTCTTTATTTTTAATTATTTAATTATTTCAGGTAGTACAAGTCGATATTTTTAATGGCATGGTCAAAAGAGTCTTTAGAATAATTAATATTCAGCCCACGTGAAATTCAACTTGTCTGTTTTAAAATAGACCTTTTAGATACAGTAATATGACAAATAGACAAGTAATGTGCAGCCTTATTTTTTGAAGTTTGCTGTTCTTATGAAAAGTATTTCCACAGATTTCTTAGGGTGGACAAAATGAACAACATGTCCCCCGAGGTTGCACTGCACCGGATCTCACCTGAGCTGCGGCCCCTGCTCTGCAGCGTTGTTCGAAATGGTAGAGTGGGACTAGACTCTACAAATTGTCTTCGTGTGACAGACCTGAAAACTGGGTAAAGTTCCCCTAAACTTTCTTTAATGACCTTTTTAAAAAAAATACATTTGCACTGTAGCATTACTGCATGTAAAAAGAAAATACTAATGTTGTATCCTAAATGTACCAGGAATAATTTTAAAATAATAGAAATTCAGGGACCAGTGAAAGAAAGTGAATTATTTGTCATGTGACAAGCACACCACTGCACACATCACCAAATGTTACCTATGCTTCCTTAACCACCAAGCCACCACTGACTCTAAAGGTTATGGCAGTGTTGGGATTCAAACCCACGCCCCCCAAAGAGACTGAAGCCTTATTTCAGCACCTTAGCCACGCTACTTTTATATTGTATAGTCCTGCATTATTATCTTTGGTAATAGTGGTTTCCTGTTTATTTTGATTAAATTTATACACACCAGTATCTTGCATGCTTATCAGATTTGTTTTGTCTTTGTCAGATGCACATCTCTAACTCCTGGTCCCTGCTGTGATCGTTTTAAGCTTCACATCCCATATGCTGGAGAAACTTTGAAATGTGAGTAACTTGCTCTTCTTTATTTTTAATATTGGGTAAGTAATCAGACAATGAGACTATCAGCCACCGTTGGCTCGTCAACTGCATGATCTTAATTAATCAGTGAAACTTCATTGGATGTATAGAATTGGGGAGTTGTTGAAATGTTGCAAAGGCAAAATTCCATAAAAGTAGTTTATCAGCAACTCACCAATTGCAGTTAAACATTAAATACAATATTGTCTTCAAACATCATGGTCTGTCAATCTGTCCATCAACATAGCAAGCAAAAAGGGACCCAGAGCTGATCCCCTCATGTAATCCCACCCCTCTTGAATTGCTCTGACAGTTTCACGCTTTTGATAAGAGCATCTCTCAATTTGACTCTAAACTCTCTGTAATATGCCTCCTATTTTACATAGTTTCCACCTTTTAATCTTCACCTGTGCCTTCACTTGCTTTCTCTCCCTTGTTTCCTCCTTCACTTTACACACAACCTTCCTGTACTGCTTTGAAACACTTTACCCTGTCACCACTTTGCAATCTCTGACCTCTTTCAAATGTCACATCCTTTACATGATGTAATCCACCTCTGTAGATCTTCCTCCACTCTTTCTAAAACAAGTATTAAACACATTTCTGTCTTTCTGCATTTCTGGCTTTGACTCCATATCCACCATTTCTTTCACCAACATGTCCAAACAAAACTCACCTTCTTCATCAAGCTTACTCCAAAATCCCTCTAACTTGTGGTGTGGAAGTACAGACCACATTCAGAATCACACCCTTATACAACTTACTAACTTATACTTTCAAGCTCATGACTCTCTTTACAAACTGTTCTCTTAAAATGATCTCTACATCACATCTCATGCTATCTGCACCATAGTAAAATACTTTGCACCCCCCAAATGTTCCTGGCCTTGGTCTCCTTCCATCTGGTCTCCTGAACACAGCAGACCTCCACCCTTCTTGTCACCATCATGTCTGCCAGATCTCTACCTTTACCAGTCTACGTTCAAAGTCCCTACTCTGACCTCTACTCTTCTCTTCTTCAATGGTCTTCAACCAACAGTAATCCATTTTAAACTGGTACCCTGTTGGTTAACAGAATTGGAGGTGTTCATTGTCAACCTGGGCTGAACTGAACGGAATGAAAGTAATCTTTGTGATCCACGTTTGTTTTGTCAGAGTTTTACACAGGATGGTCTTTCTGATGGAACTATCAACAATTTATTTGGACTTGGAAAAGGCAACAGGATGACACATGTGCCCCCCTAGTGGCTGGTTTTCCAAAAGCAAGAGAAACATTTAAGGGGAAAGATGCGCAATATAATAGTAGAATTGTTTTGTTTGTTCCTTTGACCTTTTACTGGGAAATTCCCAATTACACATGAAGCAAATTCTACAGAAACTGACTGCTTGGTCAAGAAACATCACTAGATCTGAGGAACTTTAAAAAAATTATCATAACCTGGTTGGCATTTCTTTCTGTTGACTCACATTCAGGAGCATACACACAGGCAAACTTAAAAACATAGTTTAATAAAACTGAATACTTTAAGAATGTATAGCAGATTGTCCTTGTTGGTTATCGGTATTAATTTTATTAATGTTCTGTGACCTATATTTTTTATTCTCTGTGCAGTGGACCCCCAAGATACGTTTTCAATCTGTTCTACAACAGCACTCGTGTCTCGATCCACTCGTAGCTTTTTAATGTATCCAGCCTCCCTTCTCAACATTCACACATAAAACATAGTGTTAAAGGGTGTTAAGATTTCAGTGTGAGACAAGCCTAGGTTAATTATATCCTATTGTATACATGCAAATTTAAGCCCATTTGAAATAAAAGCCTACATAAATGCATCCATATTTCTGTTCTGATCTTCATCAGGATGTTTGTTTTCAGACCTCAGGAAAATACATGTATATAAATATATAACACTCAGTGCCTCACAGTCATGTACTGACATGTAATAGTCATTGTGAGGATGATAGCAGGAGAATTCTGTCCTGGTTTACCCCTTTGTACTTGAACAGTGTTTAGAGAGTATGTGTGTGTGCGTGTCGTTTGAGTTTCATCATCAGATGAGCAGCTACGAGCCACAGCAATCTCCATCTCCTAAAACCTGTACTAGTATAAACATGTCTAAAAACATATGTTCTGTTCTTTTTCATTCAATTGGATTTTTTGCAGTGTACATTTTGCCAGCACTGTCAGGCACCTGTTTGTAGAGAAATTGGTTTACTCTAGGCTTATTATTATTAATAATATTATTATTTCCTTCTTTTAACATCAGTCCTCATAATTTTAGAACAACGTTGTCTGTTAATCCATATTTTTCCATTTTATATGTTAAACTAACAGTGTGGGTTATAGTTGTCTTTTCAGTGTTGGACCAATACTGATCCTGGGTATCAAATCAAGCCATCCCTAATAGTACACTGCCACACATAATATGGACTCAAAGGAATGTAAATAAATTTCCTAAATATATGTGTGTTAGACCCATGTAGTTATTTTATCACATATTATTGTTCAAAGTATCTGGTGTATTTTATTCCAGACAAAGAGAACAACCTCATTTTTGTCTCCTTTGTTTGTTGTCCACACATTTTGGGAGCAACACATAAAAATACATTATAAATATACATTAGTAATCCATGATATTTGAATGAAGAATAGATTGCTTGAAATTGGATAATGTATAAAAAATAGAATATATGTTTGTATTTATAGACATATATGGCTTTGTGGTCTTTTGCTGACCATTTAAGGATCAAATCATGTCAAAAATATTAATGTCAGTTTTTGCAGCTT